CGCCGCATAATGGAGTGAGCTCCCGTTACTTGTCTCAGCTTCTGCCAACCTAGCAGTTCGAAAACATGTAAAAATGCAAGTAGAAAAATAGGAACCACCTTTGGTGGGAAGGTAACAGCGTTCCCTGCACCTTTCGCATTTGGTCATGCCGACCACATCATGACGGAGACATCTTCAGACAATACTGGTTCTTTGGCTTTGAAATGAAGATGAGCACTGCCCCCTAGAGTTGGAAACAACTAGCACATATGTGCAAGGGGAACCTTTACCTTTTACCCACATTAAGATTTTTCAACCATTCCTCAACTTAATGCTATCTTGTGTCGTCATTATGCAATTAATAGGGGTGATCCATAGGTACATTAGGTTGGGCATTTTGAAGGAAGGATCTTATTTAGAGATGCATTTTTCCAAAAAGACCTCTCTAGTAACCATTTGGTTTGCAAAGTTTTAGGTGTTCATACATGTATTTTACCTTTTGAATGACTCTAGGACTTATTTTGCTGCAGATAGGAGAGAAGTAATCGAGAGAGTTGTGTCGACCAGTATTGCCGCTCACTGAAACTCAAGAATGCATCAACAGAAGCTTTGTTGAAGGAAATTTCTGTTTTTGTTCTAAGAGCTGTCCAGCAGCTTTTAATCTTTGTTGAAACTGGGTCAAAATAAATTTTGTATGCTGGCTTTCTACATAAATGCCATTTGCTTGCAAATTACAAGGTGAAGTATTACGTTTAAAGGGCAAGTAACCCCTTTTCGCCTCTCGATCAAAACGTTTCTCCGAGCGCCTTCAGTGATGTTTGTTGCATCTTCCTTCCTTCTCAGCTGGGGTTGATTTTCTTTTTCAGACCAACTCTGATGGGTGCTCTCTCTGTTTTCTGTTAGGCATGGTCATTGTACGTAGTGAGAGTGGCCAGCTGCTGATGATCCCTCAACATGCTTTGGCGCAAATGCAAGCCCAAGCCCATGCACAGTCCCAGTCTCAAACGACCATGACTCCTCGCCCTGCCACATCTACCAGTGCTTCTCCGGTCCAGCTCTCGACTGTGCAGGTCAGTTCCGTGAGAAATGTAAGTAAAGTTAACACCTTAAATTCTTTCTTATGTTGAAGGTATCTGTAATGGAATGCGAGAATGACCTTGGAAGATGGGGAGAAGAGATGTTGCCTATGGAACGCTCAGATAAAAGGGGGAGGAGCCCGCAATTAAATAACAGGCGGAGAAAGAAACTTAGAAAGAGTCTGCCATAACTAATCAGGGGGTAAAAATAGATGGCGGGAGATTTGTACTTTCAGACTTTATAGATTCTGTTAAGGTAGCCTCTATAATAAAATAGAATTTGCTCATCTTGTCATCTTTCCTATCTGGTCTACTTGGGAGGTTGACATTATCAGAGTTGGCTGTTTTCACTCTTGCTCTGCTTAGGAGTCTCTGCCCTATACCCTATTTTCGTCCCCTTGAAAAGTACCATATTTATCCGCCCTCTAGAGTAGGGAATGACTAGCGCATACCGCATTTTTTGGAGTTTAAGACGCACCCTTTTCCCTCAAAAAAGAGGCTGAAAATCTGGGTGCGTCTTATACACTAAATACAGCATTTTTTGCCTCCCAAAACTCTTCCTTCTTCACCAAAATGGCCATGCATAGCCTTTAGGAGGATTCCAGGGTACTCCTGGGGGCTGGGGAAGGCAGAAATGAGCCATTGTTTGCTCAATTTTGCTCCTCCCCCCAGCCCCAGGAGCACTCCATAAGACCCATTAGATCACACAGATTAGGCCTCCTCCGGGTTCCGTCTACTGGCCAATGTCATCTGGCCACTACCCGGGGGAGGGCCTTCTCTGTGGNACACACACACACACACGAAGTGGCAGGAGTGCACTGTGGGAAAGACTAAACAACGAGTGTGTCCAGAGGAGGAAAAAAAGATGGCTACATGTGAAAAGCAGGTTTACATACGCAAAAATAAATACGGAAATGCAATATTAGATAAGAATTTGAAAGGCGATTGTGACAGATTTTTTAGAGCTGTTTCAGAAAGCAGGGGAAGAAATAATAACCCATGTTCAACTAGTCAGCCAGAGAAATTGAACCTTATAAATAAATAAATAACTCTCAAGAGGAATTAAACAGTTCTGTGGGACACCAGAGAACAATTCCTAACAATAAAAGTTGTTTAACAATGAATAGCCGGTTAGTGGTGTGTAAATAGAAGCTGGATGGCTGTGATAGTGAATTGAGGCATTAGAAGATCTCCAAAGTTTCTTCCAAACCTTATATTATAGCTAGTCCTTGGTTACCAATGGCAACTGGGACCAGTATTGTCATAAAGTGTGACGCCACATGACCATGCCTCTTAGTGACAACAATTCCATCAGTCCTGGGTTGTTGTGGTTAAGTGTGGACTGCACAGGTTATTAAGTGAAGACCTCATGAGTGCATGAGCTCTGACTTCCTTCTGGCCTTTCCATTGCCTTTGTTGGTGGAGAGCTGGCACATGACACATAATCATGTGAATGTGGGGTTCACATGACACAAAATCATGTGACTGTGGGGTTGCTGCAATGGCCAGAACTCTGAGGACCAATCATAACCACCTCTTGTTCAGCAACCATTGCAAGTTTGAATGAGGAATCGCTAAACAAGGGACACCTCTATATGACACTATAAAGCTTAAAACGGACTGTTGTGTTTTCAAACAAGTTGAGGTTTCAGGGAGGCTGTTTTGATCTTGGAGCATTGTCAGACCAACCCAATTTCAATTCAGAAGACCTAAACTCATCAGTTTCTCTAAGAAGTTCTATCAATAAGCACACTTTTAAAAGAAAATTAGCAAAACATTCAGCTATCTCTCTTATTAAACTTTTACATTGTAAAATATTTTGATTTTCCAAATGAAAGCAGGTATTCTTATGGTGCCAATTTTGTTGCCACTGTTATCTGCATGAAATGAATAGTTTCTCCATTGCTTGAAGATTCTAGATAGTTGTTTGTGCATACGCTGATGTACTTTAATTCATTATACGCCACTTATTTCTGTGTAGAACATGTGAAATATACTGTGCTTTGAAGGGATAAAATAATTCAGTCCGTAATAGCAGAATATGCAATTTTAAATTATTTCCATTTAAATGGATTAACTATATTAATTTTGTTGTATTACAGTTTTGCTCCTACGAGTTGGAGACACTGCATGGACTTTTTAAGTTTTTCAATCTTCTCCCTGCCCATAATTGTTGTAGTAAGTTAGCTAAGTCTGTAGATCTATGAAGCTTAGCAGAGAATGGAAGGCTTTAATTTTTCTTTGGGGATATAATTCAGCGCTGCACCGTCTGTTACAGATGCACTGGAGGGCAGTTATGGTTTTTATAACCACTTTTGTGACTAAAACTGTTATGGAAAATTAATTTAGAAGTTAGACCGTTTGTGTTTCTCTTTCTAAAACTTGCACTTAATTGGCTGGTGGCTTTTAAGGCTGGTTGAGTAAAACCATGCTCAGTGTGAGATTTTTCCTCCAGTTGCTCTTTTCAGAAGTGAGTAAAGTATAGGAAAAGTGGGACAGCAATCCAAGACAAACACTGTTACATTTGTGTGAAACCAGCAAAATATACCGAGCTGCATGGTAGATGGAAGATTGGAATTTAAATCTATTAACAAATAAGTTGTCCCCCATTAAGATGGGACGTGATGGCTCAGTGGCTAAGATGCTGAGCTTGTCGGTCAGAAAGGTTGGCAGTTTGGCGGTCCGAATCCCTAACGCCGCATAATGGAGTGAGCTCCCGTTACTTGTCTCAGCTTCTGCCAACCTAGCAGTTCGAAA